GAAAGAAGAGATTCTGATCTGCTTTCTAAAAAGTTTAATAGAGCAGCAGAAATGTTTTAGAAAAAAAAAGATATTGTATTATGAGCCTTTTTCACTATTGAAAATGTTTACTAGGCACATAACCTTAGTCGCCGAAGCCGAAGAGAAATATTGACATATTCTAGTCAGTTGGATTAAGATTTTTCATGCAATTCTTCTTCACTTGTAACGAAGGACCTTTCATTTCAATTCATTGGGGATGTATGATCCAATATTTATTTGTATAAAAAACAAGTTTTCCTCAATAACATTTATTAACAGAGAATTCTTTCATTAATAAAGACAGAACAAACGAAACTGTATGATGATTAACAATTTAAATCAAAAATTAAGTTAATCATTAAGCTCATTTCATACAATCACTCGAATAAGTAACAAAAGATATGATGTTCAGTAGTAATAGATTTCGCTTTCAAACTTTATTCATCGATACAACATCATTTTTTGAATCGCAATGGAAAACAAATTCATACATTTATATTAACAGTTGTTTTTTAACAACTTGATTTCCAAAGCAGATTTTCTCTTCATACATAATTACATATTTCGCACCATATCAAATATTGTAAGAAAAGAATTTAATATTTTACACAAGAGATTTTTATTGAGATAATATGAGAAGAACATTAAACTAATAACGAAGGAAAATAGGAACAAAAATCTTTTGTATAAATTATGGGGTATCTAGCAATCAATTGTTTGACTTGAGCACAATTACGTCGAGTTTCATCTCTTGTAAAGTTTTTTGTCACCAAATTTAACTGTTGATAATTGACTTTTAATTCAGTTAAACGAGGTAAATGTGTTTTTGTTTCATTGAGAAAATGTTCAACATAATAAGTGCTTACATAATCGATTTCAAGTGAAATAAGATGAGGAAATTCAACAATTGAGCACCAATCTGTATCATAAAGATGAGATTCATGACGTCTAAAAAATGGTGGTTCCATATTCCAAATCAATAAATATTTAAGAATTGGAAAAGCTCGAGCAAGTCGAACGAAAAATTTATGTTTGTATGGTTTTAGATCCCATAATGTCAAATAACTAACAAAATTAAATTGAATATTTGGAATATTATTTCCAATGTGTTCGAGACGATCAAATTTAAATGGAAGTGAGAAAACACGAGATATCATATTGATAGAATCGAAATAATCTATCATACAAGCCACTGATCGATGTTCAATATTTGTGAAAGTTCTTTCAATATCTGACTTCGATATACGAATTGTTGGATTACCTATATCCTTTTCACAAGCCATATAGAATGTAAACATATGAAGTCTTGACATATGACGAAGAATTTCATTATCAATACGAGTACCAGAGATAAATTTGGGTCCATCCAAAATATGAATATATAAAGTTAATTCTTCAAGATATGACATTCGACGAAGAAGAGGTAAAACTTGTTTACGATATAGTCGGGTACCATTATAACATATTAATGAGAAACATTTTAAATTAGGTAGATCATCCTAAACAATAGAAAGAAAAGGTTTATAAATTCATCTTTATCAGTTGAATTCAGAAATAAATTTATACGGAACACTATTCAATAGACGTTATTCATTTTCCAAATTGTATTTTTAAAGAATTCTTCAATTCTATCAAATATGTGTTCTCTAATAATAATGATGAGTATTTTATATCTATTAAGTGCAGAAGCAAAAGAACTAGTGAATAATTCAACAAATCAAACATTGTATGAAAGTGAATCTTCTTAACATTATGTTTCAAAACATTTGATAAGATTCATTATAGAGATATTACAAGAAAAATTATTTATAAAGAAATTAAACAACTCTTTTAAATAACTAGACACATTTCAACAGTAAAACTCAATGCAACTTAAAAAGAAACTCCATTGATTAAAATGTTTTTTTTAATCAACCATATCTGTTTAATTTGTTTTAACTTATTTGAATAAGTCCTATTAGATTTAATAAGAAAGATATAAAACAAAATCTTTTCTATCGGGTCACTTAATAACTACAGAGATGAATTTTCAAATGAGTGATGATTAATTATAAAACAATCTCGAATAACATTAAGACAAGTATAACAATCTATTATATTTATTTTCTAATAATCAAAATTAAAATACGATATTCACTAAAGCAAAAAATTTCATTATTTATTGCATACTTTCAACTAACTTTATTTTCTCATTGATATTATATATTAGTTAGAAAACGACCATAAGTCCGAGCATAGACTCACCACGTTGTACGGTACTGCTATCCAATCGTCGATAAAATCAATTTGAACAATGAATGTCGTTAATTGTTTAAGACGACCATCAAGCAAAGCAAGACAATCGTCAAAAGTATATACATTTACACATAATTTAGTAAGTGTCGCAGAAGAAAAAGTCATTGGTGGTAAATCATATAACGATAAAGGCGGATAATCGTTGATAGATGATGGCACAATACTCAAATGCTTTAAATTTTCAAAGACAGTAAACACAATTGCATAAACATGTTCAGTATACTCTTCTGATATTATTGAACTATCATTTTCATTACTGATTAAAATAAGATTTGTAATTTGTTGACCAATATGTCCAAAGAGAGAATCATCTAAACGAAATCTATCATTTAATCTGAATATCGAAATATTTTTCTATGCTAATCATTTCAAAGATCAGTACAGATTAATATCTTACCCATAAAACAACGTGAAATGACTGCTTTGTTAAAATTGAAAAGTTGAAGTTCAGTAAGATTGGGATAGTTACCGGCACGCAGAATACATTCCAAAGAACCGAATTCAACAATGAGAGATTTGACATTTTGATGAACTCTTGGTAATATATCAACACAAAATCGATCTAATATTGAAACAGGAATTGAAGAATGCTCATCAGTTGATTGCGATGAGGAAACAAAATTAAGTATATTACTGAATATTTGGTGTTGTGCAATAATATCAAGTCGTTGATTATTGATACCCAGTAAAGAATAAAGAACGTCAATATTGTCAAGTTTCTTCAAAATGAGAAGTAATATTTCATTTGGAAGTGCAAGAAGATGAACATTATGCTCATTCATGTTTGAATGTTGCTTTATCACCTATTGTATTACGATTATATATACTTGTCTATTGATTCTTTGTTCATAAACAGTCTTTTCATTGGAGAAAAAAAAAAGTTGACCTTTTTTGTTGAGCGAAAAAATATAATATTTCTATAGTCGGATATTTTTGCAGACGAATTTTTTTTTTTGGATTCTTTATATCTATATTAATGCGATCGTCGTGGCGATTACATCACGGATGAAGAGAAAAAGACATCCATTTAGGAAGAGGAAAAATGAAAAAATAATCAAATGTCAAATACCCGACTCTATTATTTCGTAGTAATTATTTTTTGGGTGTGAGTGTGTGTGTG